ATCAATTTCTCGACTAAAGCAATCGATCCACTACTTCCAATTAAGGTTGCTCTATTAACCTATGCAGAGAGTATCGTTCTAGGTTAAAGCAGGAATCACAAAAAGTTTGATCAGGACTCAAGTAATTCTAAATCAATGCCTCAACTGAATATAAAACGTTAAAAAATAATGAATTCGAGTTCATACAACTCTTCCTAGCATACAAATTCAGGGTTCTTCAAAGCCTAACTGAAGGGAAGTTACTCCATAGAGAAGAGAGAGAATGTAGAAATCTGATCTAAATCTTCAATCTCCATCTCCAAGCTTGATTCCCGAGCTTCATTGGTGAAGAAATCCTCTAAAATAGCTCCAATAATGATTTTAAGGTGCTCTCTCTCTCTCTCTCTCTCTCTCTCTCTCTAGGGATTCTCCCTTGGTTGTTTGGGATCCAAAATCCAGCTCTCCCTCTTCAAAATTCAAAAAACGCATTTATACAGCTCCCAGAGGCCAAGTTACGGTCAGCCCATAACTTTGAAGGCATTCTGTAATTTTGGAATGCATTCTGCTTCCCGGGGCCAAAGTTATGGCCAAAATGGCAAAGTTACGGTCAAAATCGTAACTTTGAAAGCCAGCCCGTAACTTTGGATAGGCTACTATCATTTGGTCCTTTCTCTCTCATCCGAACTCCGAATAAGTCGCTATTTGATCCCAGACTCTCATAGCTATGTCCTCTTTCTTTCTATTCCTAGATTACATGATTATTTGTCCATTAGATGAGGTAGAAATCCGTTCTTCGCCGGATCATGCCCAAGTTTCTTCCCCCGAGTCGCCAATTGATCTCCGATTGACTTAAAACTTGCGCTTATGCTTCATTTTACATGCTAGGACCTGAAATGTAACAAAGGAACAAAACATAGCATAAAATAGGCCAAAGTATGATAAACACCAAGCTAAAAAATCAAGAAACGAGGGGTAAAAGCATGTGCAAATTCAGTATTATTAGTATACTCCAGGTGTACACCAGTATATATATATGGTTCAGACTACTGTATGTCAATCATACGCTTACCTTATCGTACGACCATCGAGTTTTGTTATTTAAGCCATGAGTTAACTGGAGTTTGGGGCATGGTATATACCCAAATCTCTAATGGGTGAACCCCAGTCCCCAATTCTCCAACCACCATAAGATTCATTTAATCTTAAAATGAAATTAACAGTTCCGGTTCATCGAAACTATCAAAATACAAAGAATATGCGTGAACGAAGGCGTATAGCGTCCTTCTTTACTATATCTAGTGAAAGGCATATTGTTTGTCTGAGTCAGTGCTAGGGTTTCAAAATGAAGATGAGCAAATGGCAATCGTTGCATGCTGTGTGCCGATTTCTCGGTTCATTTCTAGGAAATATGTTTTCGCTTCTAAAAATTTGTTCAAGGAAAGAGTGAGAGAGAGGGAAATTTGTGTTCGTGTTTAACGCACTATGTTCTTAAGTAAAACAATAACACAAGATCAAAGAACCAAACGATCGTTACTCGGTTCACACCTCTCCAAACAATGTTTGAACGAGGGTGTTCGACGAACAACGAGGAAACAAGGAGGATCTAAATTAAGTTACCTCTACTATTATGGAGGTTCCTTTGGAGAGCTTCGCGACCACGACTATGTCTACGATCTACTACGACTCTGCAAAGGAGATCTTTGAATGAGAATTTTTACGAGACTGGAGAGAAAAGATATAAATTTTGTGATGCTGTTTGTGATTTGATTTTGTCATCCCGAGCTTCTCTCTCCTTTTGATGTTTATACCCCCAATCTTCCTTCCATCGTAGTCGTAATAACCGCTTCGCTCCATCTTTGTCTCTTACATTCTCCATCTCTCTCAACCATACAAGTAAACTTCCACTTTGTTGCTTGATACTTAAGTGCCCCTGAAACTGCTTAGCTATGCAAAATCTTGGTAAAACGACACCGAGAAGAATCATGTACCTTCCCACCACGGTTCGATGTTCCCAACAACCCTGTCCACCAAATAAACAACGATATCGCACCACTTCCCCAAATCGAGCATGCGAGCCTCCAATTTCTTTGTCATCGTTGTGGCAAACAAACCCCCCTTGTTGATGCCTTGGGTCTCTACATCGTTGGACTAGGCCCGCTCAAACTATCAAGGGCAAACATGCACCTTTCGGGCGTGGCCAAGTTTGTTCTCATATTTAGAACAATATCGTTCCATGATATTCACAACATAGTTGGCCTCGCTGGGTCATGAACTTCCAATCCATTGTTCTCTACTAACAAAGTTGTTTGAGTTCCGCGGCGGTGTTGCTGTCTTCATGATCCTACTCGTAGAGCTTGGAAAAAATTCAATTCCCGCAGCCATGTTTCCAAAAGTCCATCCTCGCTCATCAATTTCATCGAACTCGCAACATTGCTTTTGACTAAACAACGTCGCTTTCCTACTCCACAATATTGTTAAATCCTTACAATATTGTTTGACTAAACATTGTCGTTTCAAGTACCACGACGTTGTCGGCCTCGCTGACCTCACAACCCCAATTTGACAAACGACACAGTTTTGCTAGACGTCATTAAGCAAGATCACATTTTGAACCACGACGTTGCTCTCAACTAAACAACATCGTTTCCTAGTACCACGGTGTTGTTTTTACCTTGCAAGATTTGAGGGTTTAAAGCAATGCTTGCCCACCATGCCTTGGTCGACGGATCTGGTCAAGCAAATCCCGTCCACGACATTGTTTTATATTAAACAATGTCGTTTTCTAATTCGTGGTGTTGTTGGGCTTACTGGAGCTTCGCGATGCTGATTTATCTCACCGCGATGTTGCTTGTCTCTCAACACCGTCGTTTTTTATCATACGACATCGAATTAAATTTCGAGTCTCCTTAATACAACATGTAATTTAGCCCAAATTAATTTTAGGTGCGAACAGTTTGCTTATGGGTTCTATGAAAATCTGAGTTCATTTGTGGGGAAATCATTCCAAGGAGAGAGTGAGTGAGGGGACATATGTGTTCATTTTTTTATTCTAATAAATAAAGAATACAAGATTTAACTTCTGGATTATGGACGAAGAAACGAAGAAGACGAAAAAAGAAATAGTCAAATCACTCAAAGATCCCTAGAAAAGAATTTCCATCCAAAAACGATCCCAATATATATTTCCGAAACAATATTAGGCTATATTTGCTGGAGGACATGTAAAGATTTGATCACGCATAACAGATATTATGCATGTGGTCGATTATTAATCAAAGCATAATCTCAGCAAGTACATTCATATATATGAACTCAGGTAGCTAGCTAGATTGGCAGGCAGGCAACAAGTAAAAGAACTAGGTTATGTAGTAACGTTAATATCTAGGCAGAGCTGGTTTTGCTATATATGAATCAAGATTCAAACAAACCGTGGGTGACCAATATATGGTCTCTACTCTACTTGTTAGTCTATCATAAGCTGGCTATTTTCCAACAAACAATTAATATTCAGATCCACTGCCTACTGGCTACTGCAGCCTAGGTACCTGACCTTTTGTGTATAATATAGTATTTGCTGTGATATGGGCAGCAAGACTTGCCACCGTGAAAAACAATGCCCAAAAGCCCTCTTTGTTTCCAACTAGCTAGTTAAGATTGATTCTTTCATGCATGATGAAGACTAGCTACGCGTGTTGTCAGGACGAGTAAACCCTATGAGCGGGTGGAACATAAATACAAATCATGCATGCAGGTTTAAATAAATAAATAAATTATTACCAGCTGGATACCAAATCAAATACATAAAATATTGATTATAAGTCAAATGACTGATTCAAATAAGTTCTTATTAATAATTACGATCGCGCTGAATATTAAATGCACCGCGAACACAATACAAGAAGTAAATTATATATGTGGGTCTAATAGATCCTCCCTCTTAATTCATGATCATGTGTGAGGGGCAGGGAGAGAAGAGATCCAATATTTGTCAACAGTCAAAACTACTTTGGGATGTGTCAGCCTCTCTGACAATCGTTAAAGCAAACAACTTCTCCTCCTTCCATGCAGGCAGGCAGGCAATTGCCACCTCCTACTGCCCATGATTATAAGCCAAAAAAAAAAAGTCTTCCTTCCTGCACAATCTCCTTTTGACTATTCGATTCAATGGCTCTTCAATGGAGAAATAAAAGCAAGAAAGCTGGGAAGAAAAGTTCATCCCCATCTTCATAACTTGCTCTCCAACTTCTCCTCCAAGAAACATGTAACTTACCGCACACATTACATTACATAGGAAGCCAATAATGTTGTAGAAGTCGTGTCCACAAAAAAGAACATTATTGTAGAGCCACAAACATATATATAATCTGCATGCAAAAAGCGAACTAAGCTAGCTAGCTACCTCCCTCCCTTGATTGTACTCCATCCGTCGATGGCTAGCTTGATTTTTAAACGTACACCAATTTGTTAAATAAGGGGAAAAGCACACATAAATCATAAATATATGATGAATTCCCAATATCAATATTGATTATTACTGGTGTGTAATTGAGTAGGGAGCCATTAACAACACAACAATATATATGGACCATACATATATATATATATAATTACTAGCTAGATAGCTAGCTGCACCCAATTACAGTAGCACCACTTCACCAATAAAACTCCACCATAATAATAATCTAGCTCTCTACGACTCTACCTTATTGCGCTTTGCATGTCCTCCATATATATATATAATAACATCATCACTAACCACACCACACCCTTAAGGAAATACATCATTGCTTTCCTTTAGTGCGACATCAATTAATACATCATAGGCCCTAATTAAGCAGCATTAATTCATTGCAATTCATAGATATCAGACATATCTTAATTAATATACAATTCCTCTTCAACGTGTTTGGATGGGAAAAGCAATACTGGTTTCTTGCTGGCTAGGTATTAGCTAGTTCAGATTATTAGAAGCGCGATACCCCTTTCTCCTAATTAATGCTCGACAAAATACAATTGGGGTCACCTCATGACATGCATGATTCAAAAATTAACACGAAAACTTCCATTTAACAACATAATGTTTGAAGTGAACTAGCTAGCTGAGCTAATAAGTAATAACCCTACTGCCTCCCTCCCTCCCTCCCTCTAACCCTGAATCCAGCTACGAAAACTAACACCAACCAACGAAGCTTAACGATGGATCGACAAGCTAGCTTTAAGTTACCTCCTTGTTGGATCCAATTAAACACATCTAAGGATTCAAGGTTGTTCATCTCTAGCGAGCTTGTTGAGAAGCGCGGTGATCAAGGCGTCCCTCTTGTCGGCGCGAGCTTCCTCCCTGGCCCTCCTCTGCTCCTCCCTCTCCCTCCAGCGGCGCTCCATCATCAGCCGCTCCTTCTCCAGGGCCTCCATCGTCCGCCGCCACTCCGCCTCCTTGGCCGCCCTCTCATTCTCCCTCGCCTCGTACGCTTCCCTCCACTGCACCTCCATCGCCATCTGCTGCCTCACGAACCCTTCCATCACCTCCTTCATCGCCGCCGCACCAACTCCGGCATTACCACCACTACTGCTAATACTGCCCTTCCCTTTCTTCATCCTCTTCCTGCTCGTATTCACCGCAGCAGCAGCCGCCAGCAGCTTGTCCCCTTCGCTCGCTTCCTCCTCCTCCTCGTAGTCCTCGTCGGACGACAGCTGCCCTCCTCCACCGGCAGCCTTATTCTTCTTCCCGCCGGCGCTGGCGGAGGCGGTTCCCTCGGCTTCGGCCCAAAGCATCCGTTGCATCCTGGCCGCGAATATGGCTTGCAGCTCGGTGTAGAAGGGGAACTGCTGCCTCATCGCTTCCGGCTCCATCGTCTCGCATCCCTTTTTTTGTTTATATAATTATTATTATTATTATGACTTGCTTATTTAATTTACAGCTAGCAATAGCATCGATTAATAATAAAAAAATCCCTGACGTACGTACCTTGTATCGAGTGACGAGGTTCTTCCACTTGCACTTGCACTGTTCGGCGCTACGGTGGAAGCCTTTGTCCTTCATCTTGGTGGAGATGACTTCCCACAGCAGCTTGTTCCGCTTCGTCTCCATGAAGGTGCGATCCAGCTCCGCTCGGATCACCAGGAACTCTTTCGTCTCTTGGATGCTCCATTGGGGGAACCTGCTGTCAGCCGTCTCGCCCACCGCCGGCGGCTGAGGCTGAGGTTGGGGATGGAATGGATTGTGGAGATATTGCTGCTGCTGCTGCTGGTGGTGATGGTGGTGGCCGTGGCCCTCCATCCGATTCGATTGATTAAGTAGAATGGATTCTGGAATAATAATGACTTTTAATTTTTGAGGGCCGGGAAAATTCAAAGTGTACGCGGAGGAACAAGGAAAAGGAAAAGAGAGGGTTGGAAGGGAAGGGAGACGAATAAGATTGATGATGACGATCAAAGGGTCGGGAAAAGATGGAGAGAGAGAGGACGCCAAATATTTATAATACTCCTCTCTCTGTGGGTTTGCTGGAAATGGAACGGACGATTTTGATGAGTTGTGTGTGTGAATGGGAAGGCCTGGGGGGTAGGGTCCCAAATGGGAAACGCCCAAAAGGGGGGGAAAAAGAAGAGTGTGAATGGATCGTCATCTGTGTAAAACAAGCCATTAACAATTATTATTTTCTAACAGTTTATTTGGGTGGCGGTTTGATTAATACTAATAAATCCAGCCGACGAATTGATGAAAGAAGAAAATTTGAGATTTTTCTGTTTACGGCCCATAGTAACGACAGTAATTAAATAAACAGGATGTCGCTTCACGTGTGTGTGTTGTGTTTGTCTCAAAAGCCAAAAGTCAATCCAAGTTTTAAGGAAGATCGAGAAAGTTGAATCCATTGTCTCCCTTCTTCTTTTTTTTTTTTTTTTTTTGTTATCACAAAAGTTAATCCATTTTCTAACTGTATCATTCATTAAATTTTAATTAGTAATAGCCGATGAAATCTGTAGTCGGATCGGATCAACTTAATTCTACGCATACGCCTCAAGTTATGAATGAATATAATTCTTGTATTCAAGTTATGAGACTGCATTCCCTTCACTTATGAAAAAAAACTACATTCCCTTCAATATATCAAATCAAGTAGTTATCTCAACAAATTATTAGCTATTAGGCTACATATCTACATTCTTATGTAAATTATAGTTGAAAAGCATTACTTTATTTGTGTCTATATAATATTGACGAGAGTTAAGCTTGCTAAGAATATAGTCGATCGTAAGTTCTTAACATATTCATATTCAGCAATTACATGCACATATTTAATCCATCTTATTTTTCCAACACTCCTTTCCACCACGGCACCACCCAGGAAGCAATTCTATATGAAATCCAATGGGGATGCCCTAATATGGATATTGATTCACACGAAATTAGTTAATTAAGTTGGTCGGGATGCATAATTGTGGAAGTTCATTACTGTGAGTTGCTTAGTTTGAAATTTTTCGGTGCGCTATTTGTTCAAATATTCGTACTTCGATATTTAAACTTCTTCTACATTAAGTGTTTGTTTATTATATGCATGGCTAGAAAAAAATGCTCGTTCAAACAGAAGAAATCGTGTGTAAACCAACAATATAAACAAAAACTAATGAAAAAGCCAGTTTTTTATGAATGAAAAATCTGTTTTCCTCCTATGTTTCACAACTCAATTTTGTTTGAATTATATATTTAACTAAGATACATAGATATATAATCCCTATGGTCAGTAATATCGTTAAAATTGAAGTTTGTTTGTGGGCTAGGAGGAAATTAAAAATGTTCCAAGAGAAATTACTACATATTGCTATGTAATGTTGGAACAGAGATTAGAAAATGAGAATTTCGCCATTGTGATTGCAACACAATCTGCAATGAGAACCCGCATGTTCATAAAGGTTAATTGAGAGCCATTGTATGAGGTGTTGAGCGCTTTAGAATCGTTGAATGAATGAGTTGATAATTTTGAAAATAATATATTATCATATCCATTCAACAAGCACAAAATTTGTAAGTATTTTTTCAAGGGAAAAAAAAGAATTATGAGCACAATAGCCTCACTGACAAAATGAAGACCAGCTTCCCCCTCTCTCTTTCTTTTTTAACGTTATATTTGTCTTCATTTTCTTCTTTCTCCGATACAGTGATTGAGTCCCTATGGCTTGCCTTGCTTTGGTTGCCTTCCTCATCCTCCATTCCTGCATTCCATCAGTAGTCTAGTCTCTATCTGTCTACGCGGAAACTCCCATCTTTGTTTGTCAACAATTTTCAATTCCCCCAACCCCACCATTTGTTCATATTGCGAGCGGATGTCGTCAGCCTTACGGATAATCATATCATTCCTCGTTTCTAGTGGGCCTCCCTCCCAATTAATTCGTCATTATTCTCTGTAACCAGCTGCTACACAGACAGGAGGAGCCTTGAACCACAAGTTACGTACTATTCTCACTCCTCCTACGCGACAAAATCTTTTTCTACCCTTCTAAATATAATATAATATAATATAATATACTACGCACAATAGTTAGTTACGTAGTTTATACAATTAATGTTTTGGAATTTCTGATTTTAGCAGTTTCCCCGTTAATTAATTCCAACATTAATTATAAACAGCTAGCTGCTTATGCCTTATGCCTATGCGTGCACATATATGTTTCATTTTGTTTTCTTCCTTACGTTATTTAATTCTAAGTTTCTAATCAATATTCCAAAAGCGAAGCGCAAGCTTTAGAATGATAAATAAATACTCCGCACTAAGTACTAAGTGACGGAGATTAACTGTCAATTCTTTTGTTATTAACAACCGTCAACTGTTTGGCTGTTAATTAATTAGCCTAGCCGAGTACGGAAGGTGGCACAGTACTAGGTAACGTACTACCATTCCTTTCCTTGCCCCGGGGAAAATGAAAAGCCAAAGCGAGGGAGGGAGGATGGGAGACTCATAACCTGGAGGATGCCTATGTAATATGTTATGCTACCTACTTCATTAGTTAACAACGCTAGAATTCATTGACGTTCGAATGCATGGCTAGCTGTTTTTATATAATAATAATGTGGTTAGAGCCTGGGCCAGCCACTACTTTCAGACTTGGCTAGCTAGCTAGCTTCACACACCACAAGAAGTGATTAGCTAGCTTGCTATGCTAATTGCTAGGGACAACATAGTTCCCTTCACGTTAGAATGCATCGTCTTCCTGATCTCGCGGCAGGTTCATTTTTGTACAAAAGGAAATAACAATTCAATGAACTCTCAAAGAAATAGCAAATAAATAAAAAAAATGATAAGATAAATATTTGGGTTCTAAATTTCCTTCCATTAACGAGTACATATTTATAGCTTATGAAATCTTAATAATCGATCTCCTTTTCCTCATAGGTCAACGACCCCTTTATCCATTTTCCGACCCAAAATCTGAAATTCTTTCTCACAAAGAAGCTATATACAAATTCTTAACAATTACTGTAATAAATCTTAATCCTACTAAAACAATGAGAATGCAAATATTCCTAAATAACAAAAGATAAGCAAGTCCAATAATTTTCGAAATGTAATGATGGCACACTCTCGATCTAACATTTGTCTCTGTCTAATTAGCACTACACAGTTTCCAACTCTAACTTGATGGTCGGATGACTTATGTCTTATGGGCTTGAGAGCCCTCCATTGTTTATGTTTGCAAGGGCTTGACTATTCTCGTGGACCCAGAATTAGCTTCAGGGAAGGAATTACATGCATGGTCCATCTCCATTAGAAACATATCAAAAGTAGCCTAAGGTTTCATGTTTGCATAAAAGTTCGCTAGCCAAACAAGTAGAATAATTAAAGAGAAAACAGGAGAGTAGAATAATTAAAGGGAAAACTTCATCATGGAAGTTCCCTAGCCTAACATTTCATGTGTACATAGAAGTTCCTAGCTAGCAAAACAGGAGAGTAGAGTAATTAAAGAGGAAACATAACATATTTAATTTCCAATGCGATCAGAGTATTTAAATTTGATGAATGGTTCCTATATATGAAAAAACTGAATCGCTAAAAGCTGTCCTTACTTTCAATTGTCGTGTGGATGGTTCCATCAAACGTGCTAGTGGCGGTGGCATTGGGTTTGTGGGATTTGATTCTGCAGAAATAATAACTTTGCATTTGATGATTTCTATGATGGTATGCAAGATCCATTCCTCACAGAGTTAATTGTTTTACGTGGTAGTGGCGAGTGCTGACCAAATACCTGGACCATGATCTTGGAGGAGCTATTTTGGAAGATGTCAAACGATTTGCTCGGAATTCGACTATATAAGGTATTATTCATATCTTCCTCTGTGAAGGCATATACGATCCTTTTCCAAGACGCCATGATATGATCCACCATCAGTTTAGCTGCATCTATGCCAAAATAGGTCATCTTCCACACCTCCGTCACACATCTAGCTCTCACATTCATGTCTATGTGCCAAAGAGATAATATACTAGTCGATGATGGAAACATTTCCCTGACGATCTCAACCAAACCTCATGTCTAGTCACTAACAATCCCATATGGATGGATAAGGCCAAGAAGATGTTGTAAATGCGTTAGAAGCCACTAGTACAAATCCTTCGTTTTATCATGCACTAGTGCAAATGAAATGACATAGTTCAATCCTGCTAGTGTCATGCCAACAATCTCAAACCATGGCAGCTCATACTTATTTGTCTTGTATGTTAGATCTATCACGATGACATGGTCTGAAGCTCGCAACATTACTAGTGAATCGGGGAGGGGGGGGGGCTATGAATAAGTTTGTAAACACGTTACAGTCGCCAGGATCGGATAGTGCACATAGTACCACTTCTCCCCGACATACTGGAAAGTATACTAAGAAGCTGTCATCTTACCAAGCACTGCTCTTTCTCTCTTTCTTCGCCAACTCATTATTAATCAGCCTTCTGTTGTGCTTTCACTCGGCCCCTTTTCTTTCATATATACATTGCCTTTGCCTTGTGAATATTTCTTGGCTGAAATGTATTGCTTATCATCTATAGTCAAAGCATTCCTGTTGCTTGATCCTTCAAGAAATAGCTCTAACCGATGATTGTGAAACTCAAATTAGAATCATGATTCTTTAAACTTCCCACCCCTAGACTCAACCAACTTCCACCATCTGACCACTCAATGTTGATCTGAAACTGATACCCCAACTTTCCAAAAGCAGTAAGAGGCCAACTTTGCTTTTTGAATCAGAATCTGGAATTTTTGACTTTTTCTTCTTACCATTGGTACACTTCTAGT